ATTAGACCAACAAAGATGAGGGACTTTGTAGTCAGGTTTCTGACCTGCAATACTTTCACTGGATTTTCAAATGTGCAAAGCTATATTAGAGTTGTTAAGAAAGTGCTTAAATTATAATAACAGCAACATTTTCCATCTATACTATCCATTTAAGGTTCAAAAGACACTTTAACATGTCGTATCATATTTAATTTTTTAAAACAAAGTTCAAGTGATGCCAGTTGTTCATCTTGCAAAGAAGAACTGAATTTTAAAAAGTTGTTCTTAGTGTATCATCAAGCTGTTAATGAGATAAAGTCAGTAGCGCAGATTGACTATGGTTTGACCTCACCACTGATAATCATTTGTAAATAAATAAATTTGTTTGTTTAATAAATTTAAACAAATAAATAAAATTCCATTCAACTTTCCCTAGAAATGTATTTATATTAAAGCAGTAGATCTCAAATTATAAGCTATCAGCTAGCAAATTTCTAGTAGATAAGATTTTGGCATTTTTCATTGTTTAAATTGGTACCTATCTCACCTAGAATTTTTTTTTTTTTAGATTTTATTTATTTGATAGAGAGAGAGAGAGCTAGAGAGGGAACACAAGCAGGGGGAGTGGGAGAGGGAGAAGCAGGCTTCCCACTGAGCAGGGAGCCCGATGCGGGGCTCGATCCCAGGACCCTGGGATCATGACCTGAGCTGAAGGCAGACGCTTAACAATTGAGCCACCCAGGCTCCCCCTCACCTAGAATCTTGAGCCAAAATATTTTATTTAAGAATCATATATGAAACCGCTTCACATCTCCATGCTTTAAAAATTAATATACTTAATTATGGGGCACCTGGGTGGCTCAGTCGGTTAAGCATCCGACTCCTGATTTCAGCTCTGGTCATGATCTCAGGGCTATGAGATCGAGCCCTGCATCAGGCTCTGCCCTCAGTGCAGAGTCTGCTTGAGATTCTCTCTCTCTCTCTCTCCCTCTCCCTCTGCCCCTCCCACCCCTTGTGCGTGCATGCTCCATCTCTCCTCTCAAATAAATAAATAAATAAAATCTAAAAAAAAGATTAATATATTTAATTAAATAATTAATAGGCCAAATGAAACATGTATTTCATGTTTTACCTCCCTGGCCTCCTGTGTGGGGGCAGGAAGGGGTGGGCACAAATGTAAACAAACCCAAATGTTCAATTCCATTCAAGGATTCTGAAGGAAAAGTTCAGCAAGCCATACAACAGAATAAAAGATTGGGTGAGCATGGGAGGCCTTACTGGGAAGGTGCTGTTCAGCTGAGAATTAGAACAATGACAAGAGTCCAGCTGTAATGAGAGGAGCTGTAAGCTAAGGAGGAAAGACGTTGGGTTTGTGAGCAGGAGGAAGAGATTTCTCTGATCCTAGCCACACTCGGTTACCCTGCTAACATCCTTGTCTTCTATAGCATTGTCATTAGGCATTGATGTGGTTGTTTAATTATTGCCTCTCTTCCCCACTGATCTATAAATCACACCAGGAAAAGATCACATTTCTTTTGCTCACTATTGAATCCTCTGTGCTGGCATATAGTAGATGCTTAATAATTCTTGAAAGAACAACGGAAAAAATACTGAAAATTAAAGCAACCAAGGCATTCGTGATAACAGGGCTCTAGCACAAGTGAATAATAAAATAGGGTCGTATTACCTGTCCAGTTGAAGATATCATTGGCTTGGTATTTTAGTAACTCATCGTGTTTCACAAATATGTCCATTAGCACATATCTTGTACTATTATTAAACTTAAATACATGAGCTATTATTAATTTTCAGCTGAGAGATCTCTGACTTCCCATTTTCGTGGCATATTATCTTTTGGACTCAGTCAGAAAATCATTGTTTTACAGCTACAGAATTTTCAGTTAAGCGGAAATCATTAAATCACTGGTCTCATCAACTCAAATGCTCAGTGTTCCTTTACTATAAAATGTGTAAGTATTGCTTGTTTCTGCAGATGGACTCCATCAAATCATTGCTGCTCTCCTCCCTCAGACAATAAAGGAATAAACAAAATGCCTTCACTGCAGGCTTTTCCGAGATTCCAGCAGGAAATGTTATGTCTAGGTCATTAAGGTCAAAGTACCTGGACGAGGGTTCCTGGCGTATATTCTCCATCCTCTAGGACAAGTTTGGAGCCATACCAGAAGGCCAGCGCATAACAGAGGAAGATGAGACACCACATGAATCCAGTAAAGAATCCCAACACGATCCCTTTTCTAATTCCCCAACGCTGGGCAAACACAAGATTTTTCTCGTACCTGTGAAGAGAAAGCATTTGTGTCTACATCAGCAGCAGCAGCAACTCAAGTTAGAATGTTTAAATCAGCCACAATGCGGTGCTTTTCCTCAATGGTCATAAAAATCACCCCAGACACACAGCAGCTTTCGGGAAAGAAAATGACAAACTTCCGTGTAGTTATTTAGCTTATTTCAACCTGGCAATGAAATGTGTTGAAGGAACAATGCCTAACCAAACCTCATGGCTGATTACTTCTTGGATAAGAACAGTGTGAGAAAAGTGGGAACTTTACCCCAAGAGAAAAGAATTTTCAACACAAATGTTTGGACATGAGGGATCCAGTACTATTTGTGCTTGAATTGTTTTTACCAAGTCACATGGCATGCTTTCTATCAGAAAATGATGCAACTGTTTTCCCCCAGGTTCAGAACCAGTGCAACTCATCTCCGTGCACTCATCCATCTGCCCCGTGACCAAGAATGCTATGTTGTAACATGACCGGTCAGGTTCACAGCCATGGGACATGGATAACTATGTAGAAATTCAATCTAAGCACTAGACTGCAGTGACTCTATGATCTAGCCATTAATAACTGGCATTGTCTTGAAGCTCAGACATTCTGTAACTGCCTTCCTTAGTCTCAAAAAATAAATTCATGGAGAACTTTTAATATTTTGCAGGACAAAGTGAAGGTCTATCCTATGTTTGTTCCATTTTCAAAACATTTACAAAGCTGCTATTAATAACAATAATGAGTGGGGCGCCTGGGTGGCTCAGTTGGTTAAGCGACTGCCTTCGGCTCAGGTCATGATCCTGGAGTCCCAGGATCGAGTCCCGCATCGGGCTCCCTGCTCGGCAGGGAGTCTGATTCTCCCTCTGACCCTCCTCCCTCTCATGCTCTCTGTCTCTCATTCTCTCTCTCTCAAATAAATAAATAAAATCTTTAAAAAAAAAAAAAAAACAATAATGAGTATCTTTTATGGTGGAGGAAATATCCTACTGAAATTTTTTGTGAGAAACTAGGTAACTTCACTCTATAAACCAAAAGAAGCAAAACAAACAAAAAAAAAAAAAGGAAAAGAGAATAGAGATTGTAAATTCTATTCTCTTTTTTTATTTGGTAACAATTGAGACCGACATCGTCATACTAGATCTCAAACTCATGAAATAAGAGTTGAATTAAATTGGTGGCTATTTTATGAAATCAGTACCTGGCACTGGCACTTAAAAAATGCTAGATAAGAGGAAGAATTAACAAAATCAAATTCTCAACAACTGTGTTGTTTGGGTCATTTAGGTTTTTTATTTTCATTAAGAATTAATCTTCTGGAATGATGGTCTGTAATATACCAATGCTAAATTTTGTTTGAGTAAATGGAAATTTCATCAGACTTTAAAAAGAGCATGTAGTACAGTAGCTGAATAAAAGACACTGAATAAAAAATGTGTTGAACTGCATTTTAGGTATCTCACAGCAAACAGTGTTACAGGCCATGAGGTATAATATGCATACATATGCATACATACACACCACCAGAGTTGAAATAAATACCTAACCTAAAATGGCGTTCTAAAAATCTCCAACTACAACATTTTCAAAAACACACAGCTAAAGGCTTGGGGGTCCTTGTAGTGCTTTGCCCAACTAATTACCCTCAGCTACCTCTTGAATAAAATCTCTCTCACAGTAAACAGACCAAGGTAAATCTGCCACTTTGTACAAAATAGGGAAGATTCGGGGTAGTAGGTCAAACGACGAAATTCAGGAAAGTGGTGGATGTTTCAATAAACCAACCTTTCAACCTCTTTTTTTTCACCACCAAAAGCAGCCACCGTTCGCATAGATGAAATGACTTCATCAGCCACTGACCCTGCTCTGGCATAGGCCTTCAATTCATAGTCAGTAAACTTGGACACACTCTAAAATCCAAAAGAAGAAAACAAAACCAGGGAATTAGGTAAGTCAGTCTGTCATTCAGTGATTCATTTAGCAGAGTAAGTACGTGGTGTGGTTTCGTACAAGACTAGATTCTCGCTGTAACGGTGTTCACGGAGGAAAGAATCTGGTCCAAGTTTGACCCGTGTTAAGCCCCATCCACGAATGTCTGGTTGTTAGCATACCAAAATGACTTCTTTAGAAGTCAGCCTCAAAAGCCTTCTCACAGAGTAAGTCCCCAATAGGGCATTCTGTGAGACCACAGTGTTACACTCATTATACTAATGAAGTTTGCAGATGATTCCATATCACATTTCATTGCTGTTGACCACAGGATGTTTGCACAATTTATGGACAAACACCAGAGACAGAGACTGGAGGTTAGTCAGAGTATATAATTGGGAGAGAAGTCCTGACCATACAGAGGCTCATGATACCGCAGAGGTAATTGCACAGGAGAAAGCTCCAGATAAATATTACGCCATTTTGACTCAACTGTAGGGGCTCAACTAACTAGCTTTGCTCTTTACAAAAGGAACCAAAAAGACATTAAACTTAATATTTAACAAATTACTTTTTCTAAAATTGGACTTGGATTGAGTTGTAATTACAATTAATCACCAAAGAAATCCCTGGCACAGATGAAGATACCAGAATGAACAAAAGCAAATATTGTAGAAGTTCGATTAACTCAGAAATCTAAAATATATATAGTACCCAGACTAAAGGAGTTTATCTTCCAAGTTTTTCCGAACTTTTAGCAGCTTAACTCTTCTCAAACAAAATCTTAAATGGAACTCTAAGATACAAAATAAGTAAATGTAGTATTGTTACAACAAATTTATGTCACAAGTCCACACTTTATAAAAGTTGTGAATTGAAAAGGCAACAATAGGGAAAGTAGGGCTATTTTCATCAACATGAAAATATGAATTTAGGTGTTATGAATGACATTACAGTTTTTACCACAATCCTCTTCTAATTTATTTCTAAATTATGTATTGAGGAAATTAAGTAGTTGTGAATATTAATAGTTTTACTGTAATTTAATGCACATTAAATAACCTCAGGATACTCCCATTAAATTGATACAGGAGTTTAAAAGATGTAAATTGGAAAATATTTTTATAGATGTAAATTGGATTTTAAAGATGTAAATTGGAAAATATTTAGCATGTCAAACTAAACTACCTACCTATTTTATTTAGCATGTCAAACTAAACTACCTACGATTGCTCGTGATTCTCATGGAAAATATAAAAGTCAGACTCAGGCATACAAAACCCACAATAACATGTAACATGTCATATATTTTGCCCACTCCTACTTTTTAATTTTTTTTTTTATTTTGGTCCTGCTTTTGAACTGCTTAGTGAAGTTGCTTGTATCCTTTTACACAAACATGCACAGACTTGAATTCAAGAAGAAACCAGTGCAGAGCTACAACATTCCAAATCAGTGACACATTTACAAGAACTTGAAATATGGGCACTTGAGATAACAAGAGAAACCATGCCCTAAGCCTGTTAAAATCAAGTCACCCAGGCTACATCTCCACTATGTTGAAATGTGACATCTGACCCATCTGAGTATGAATATTAACCACAGGTTTGAGGAAAGAGATTAAGTGTATGGGGGTGGGGGAAGCTGAATCAAATGTTTGCAGAATCCCCGAAGATCCCCCATGGATGGTGAGGCTTCCCTGGAGTGAAGCTTGAGAGTGTTTGGTAGGAAAGACTGTCACAAAGCTCACACGTTATGGTGGATTGGAAAAAATAAAAACTAGTATCTCTTGAGCAATTAATTCTGTGCCAGATGCCAGGCTAAATGCATAATATGGATTATGCCTTAAGTCATCACAGTGACCTTTATCCTTATCTTCAAGATGAGGAAGCTAAAGTTTTGACATGCTAAATATATCTTTCTTGAGCCAGATGGTAGAGTCAGGGGCTGACCAACTGAGAGGAGTGAGCTCTTGGCCTTTGTCAGTCTGTACTACCTGGGAAACGTTTGAGTAATATAGCCAGTGGATTGTCGAGAATATTTTGCTAGAAAATATTATGGAGATTGGTTTCCTGCTGCTCAGTGATGTGAGTGTATTCAGCTTTCCACCTGAATTCTATTCTCATTTACAGCAAATTATTAGTTTGCCTGATCCCGTGACCCGCTATCTGATGTCTCTGCTCTAAAAGTATGATACAAGAATTTATTAATCCTTGGGAGTATTTTCTAACTGGGATGACCCAAAATTCCTACTCCTACACTTTTTCTTGGCCTGCATGCCTGGGGAATGGAGATACCGCTGGGAATGGGTCAAGTGACCTCTTCCTGAAACTGATTAGACTGCCCGGAGAGCACAGCTGTGAATGCAGAAATCTCCTTTATGTGTTTGTTACTGATCTGGGTACATCTGTTGGGCCTTTTTGAAGAAAACATCTGAGCTTGGGAGACCATGGGAAGCAATAGGCATATGAGAGAGTGGATGGGGATTTGGAATCAGGCTCCTTTGTATTTGAATCCAGTTTTGTCACTCACTAGCTGTGCAGTCCCAGACAAGTCTCTTTACCTCTCTGAGCCTCCGTTTCTTATGTTTAAAATGGCATTAATGCTTTATAAGATTGTTGTAAAGATTAGAGATAATAAACATGAAGTTCCTAATAGTGCCTGGCAAAATAGTAAATGCTCAATAAATGTAGTTGTTATTGCTATTAATACAATAATATTTATGTTATTAAAATACCATCAGTCCCTGGATTGATGGAATGTTATTTGATACTGAGGAATAACCAAACAAAATAAATCAAAACAGTGATAAATAATGTTGACTAAACATACACAGGAAAAAGGAATCAAGTTTCACATTTCTGGCTGTTTCTCAGGGCAGATGTCCTGGAGAAAAGTGAGAAGACATTCTTACCAGACCAATGATGGCTGCTCCAATCCCAATGAGAGGGCTCACAGAGATAATGACCAGGGTCAGTTTCCAACCCTGGTAGAATCCCAGCAGGAACCCACAGATGCTCGTGGTCATGCGCTGAATGAAAATGGCCATTTGGTCGGCAATGGCATCATTGACTTTGTTAATATCCCTAGAAACGAGAGACTTGGATCACTAAAACTGAATTTGGTCAATTCAAATGCCTTGTTGAGAAAACCCAGCCTTTCCCTTCTACTGCCATCTCTGTACCCCATTGCCTATGAGAAACATAACAGCCTTTCACATTTGAAGAAACTTGCTATAGCTTGTGAGGTCATCAAGCCTCTCCCTCCCTCACAGCCAAGTAAAGTTTTCCTCAACCCAGGTTTCCCAACTGGTGTCCATTCAATGTTGACAAAGACTTTCAGAAACCATCTTATCTGTCCCTTTCTTTCTATAGCTCATATTCTTGGTCTGTCCTGAAGAGCCCTTCTTTCCTTCTTTATACCTGCTAAATCCTTTCAGCCTCAAGGTGCAACCCACACACTACCTAATTCATAAAAACCCTCGAGGAAAAACTAATATAGTCCTCCCTGTGTTTGCATAGCAATGTAATGAATCTGTGTTTGTGTGTGTACGTGTATATAATTACTGCATTCTGCTTATAGGTAGTATAGAATAGTGGTTAAGATCACAGACTCCGGGGCCAGACTCCAAATTTGAGCACAAGCTTTTCCTGGGCAAATTACTTAAACTTTCTGTACCTTAGTTTCCTCATCTGTAAAATGGGGATAAAGACAGAACCTACCTCAATGGGTTGCAATGAGGATTAGTTAATATGTGTTAAGTATATAGAACAGTGCTTAGAGTATAGTAAGCTATCAGTGTGTCAGCTTTATTTATTTACTTGCAGTTTTTATCCCTCCAACAAGGCTGTAAGTTCCCTGAGATCAGGAGTTGTGTGGTTTATTTTTATGGCTTGCATACGGTAAGTCCTCTAGAATATAGGTTGAATATAATTACATTAAATTCATATTCCTAGGAACATTCTCATAATCTCTTGTTTAGATGGAGCAAACAGGGCTTAGGACTTAATAGCAAAAAAAGGACCTAAGATATTACCCAGAGATTTGACAATTGTATTCCAGCAAGGTTAAGTATCTATTCAAGATCACAGTAAGTAAGGGGCAGAATGAGCACTAGAATCTAAGTATCCCAACATTCAGTCTTTGGTCTTCACTATACTACACACTCTCTCATGGGACCTCATGGGACCCCAAAGTTCAATTCAATAGGGTTCAATTGCTTCTAATTACTCAGGGCTCATTCAGAATACTTGGAGGAGGAGGGGAGGGGGGGGCTATCAATTACCCCAACTGGTCTTTAGGTATAAACCAGATTTAAATCCAATTGTTTAGTTTCAATGTTTCTCAAACTATTTTGGATTTTTTTTTTTTTTGGTCTTTGTTTTTATGTGCAGAAATGACCTCAACAGACAAGGCAAGATAATTCATTCTAAGTACATTGTTTTTCCCTATAGATACATGGACTGTGACATCCTTCAGTCTCTCTTTTAGAGGCCAAATAGCCCTACTTCTTTTAACTCTCTTCTGTAATCCTTCATTTCTAATATTTTAATCCAGGGCCTACAAACAAAATTGTAGTATCCTGGCTTTCAATTGTTAATAATCATATCGGATAAAGCATTACCTATGAAAAAAGCATGTTACCTGTAAAAGCCCAACTTAAGAGACAAAATGTATCCAAAATAACTGAAAATGTGTTTCTAATTGTTATTTAATTTAGAAACAAGGGTTCTATGATCAAAAGCGGACACATACATTAAAACCTCCTACCAGCCACTTACTCAGAAAATCTCGTATTCAGCTCTCCCACGGAATTGCAGTCGAACCATCCTATTTCCATTCGCATTACTTTCCTAAAGGAAACTTTTCTCATTTTCTGTATCTGACGAGCTGCAGCAATCACCCAAAAGCATATCTGAAAATGGAGCAAGGATGTTTGGCATTGTGATGTTAAAAATATTCATTCATTCCTTCTCTTTTCAGAAGAAAATACTTTCAATATAAGCCTTGAGAAAGAGAGGAAAGTGATTCACAGAATGCCAAGTCATGGGACGTGCCGTGTGAGCTCAGGCACCTGCTGCTGAAAGTGGGGTGAGCGGAACAGCTGTGGCCAGGGAAGCTAGAAGGTTTGGGTGTGAATTTGGTTTTGCCACCTGTAGATCTAGCCTTACCAAGCTTCACTTTCTGCATGCGTAAAGGAAGGCTCACAGTGCCAAAAAGAAATTCTTGCTCTTATATCCCTATTTTTGCAAGGAGCTTCTGAGTGTATTCCCCCCGCCACTCCCCCCTCCCCGAGAGGCCTGCCAACAAGCATGTATGCATAGTTTTCAGACTGTTGGACAATGATTTTTCAGAGAAAGGAAGACAAAAATTATGACATAAACAGGGAATCTACTGTTAGCTGTCCCCAGCCAAGCAAGGTCAGGCTGTCATTAAAACTCTCAGTACCAGAATGGGGAAAATGGATTCATTTCTCTTTACAGTGAACATGAACTTCCTGGAATTCTTGAATGAATGCGGGTTGAGGGGATTCATTATTTCTCCTACAGAAGAAGGTAAAAGATGAAATATTTTTCTTCTTTAATAAGGGTTAAGTAACTCCAGGCCCTTCCATGGCTTAAATCTAGACTAGATTAACTTTACAGAATTGGGGTTGGAACACAGATTGGTGAGCTTTTATCAGTGAAAGAGAAAAAAAAGTAAAGTTTGCTTTCCTCCAACCCCCCTCATGCATGGCTTTCTCCAGGGTGCCACACTCCCTTTACAAACACACCCACAACCGCCTATTTTTGAGTTTAGAAGATGAAATAGAGGGGGTGGGGGAGGACAGGGCATTGAAATTCAGTTTAGTCTCCGTCCCTCTAGACAACTGCGTGTATTTTCCTCCCTGTCTGAGAAGAATCCTTCCCCATCCTCTCATCCCCCCTCCACCTCCAAATAAAACTGTAGTCCTTAGGGCTTCCGAACAACTTAAAAGTTAGAGAGTGCACTTTGCAGTTCATTGTAATGTCTCTGAGCCCAGATGTTGATCTATAAATAAAATGGAGGAGCCACTCACTTGAATATATCCTGTGATAAGTACTACCAAAGCGATCCCAGCATAGTAACTGGCAAATCTGATCATTTCACTTTCAATGTCCAGCAACCTTCAAAAGAGGGGGGGGAAATGTTAAGATTCAGAAGTAGGGTCAAGCTTAGCAAAGATTACATTTGCGGGTACAGAGGAAAATAAAATATGAAATATGCGTAAGCCTTCTTATCTATGTAGAATTACCATCTATCCAACCAAATCTCTACCTAGACCTGGTGTGGTACCAAGTCCAGCAAAGCTGCCTACTCCCTTCGTTTTCATTTTGTTTTTTTAAAAGATATTATCTATTTATTTGAGAGAAGGAGAGAGAGCATCCGTGGTGGCGGGGGCGGGGGGGGGGAAGAGCAGAGAGAGGGAGGAGCAGACTCCCCGCTGAGCAGGGAACCCCATGCGGGGCTCGATTGCAGGACCCCGACAATGACCTGAGCCGAAGGCAGACGCTTAACCATCTGAGACCCCCGGGCGCCCCCGCCCCCTTCCTGTTTATAGGCAGAAATGACTCACTGGCAGTTGGAAGCCAGAGGCAGTAAGACGGCAGCCCAGTGCTCTGTCTACTGAGGCCCTTCACTCCGGCTCGTTATGCAGTGATGGAGGAATCAGTGCTAGGGAGAGGTTTTAAAAAGCCAGACTGGTGTCTGCAAAGACACTGGCGTGGACTGTAAATCAGGAGGCTTTACTATTACCTCCTCCAGGAATCTAAGCCAGCTTTTCAACTCTTCCATCTCAAAGTGACACTCAAAAATGTGTGTGTCGTCATCCCAAAGAAGGACAAAAACACTTTATCAGCTAGTCCTTCTGCTGACAGCCGCCCAGGGGGTTTCACTCTCTGGTACAATTTCTAAGGTGAGAATTTGTGGGGAATAGCGAGAAAGCTCTACAGCGTTTTTTGGTTTTGTTTTTTTCAGCGCAGCTACCACCCTGCGGCACAGGGCTTGGGGGTTGGCAAGGCTAGGGAGGGGAGGCACAAAGTAGTCTGAAATTGCTTTCAGAAAATAAAGAATAGGGTACTTGGAACATTGACATCTTGGTTGATAACAATTCTGACCCTTGAGGATGCTCTAAATGATAGCGAGTCCATTTCTTTAGAAAACCGGAAAGCAGCATCTTCCACAGAGGTGCTCTCATCCTCCGAGCTCTCTGCTTCCCGTCAGACCTCTCTTCTGGGACCCAAGCTTGACTTGTTCTCTCCCTCTACTGAACTTGGACTACGTGGTGAAGTAAAATTTCTTTAATTCAGAACAAGCTATTGTTATTATTATGCCAGATTTTATTGCCATCTCGCACTATTATTCAATATCTTCATTGAATATATTTATACTGAATAGATTTATGTTTGTTTTGCTAGATTGCAAGCCACTTGAGGGCAAGGGCTTGGTTTAGGCTGCTTGCTCACACTGCCCGAAGCCTTGCACAATACCTTACACATAACAGACACAATACCTCAACAAATGTTTCTTTATTTTGCTTTGACTTTTAAAATACTTATAAGGAAGGGAAATAATTGCCTTGGTCAACCCTTCTTTGGAGGGATAGTCTCCAAAACAGCTAATATGTCTGTTCACCACATTTCTGGTCTTTTATGATGGTTTAAGGGAACCCCAAGAATGAACAAGACCTAAAAAACTTATATGTAAGTATCCACAATCAGAGGTTCTCACAAAAATTAAGCATCTCTGGATAGGATGCATAATGAAGAAAAAGACTTCTAGTGTGTAAATGAGGCCACACTCTTAGTTTTCTGTGAATTTTTTCATTGTGAAATGAAATTTGGGTGTCCAAAAACAGAGAACTAGGAGTATTTGTCAAAAGAGTTTTACTTAGATTTCCTGTGGTGCGTTCCTTCTACACACGCTCTAAGCAGAGGGGACAAAATGGCTGCCATGGAAGACACAGCTGCAAGGTACAAACAGACCTACTCAGACTGAAAATACTGAGCACTGACCCATCTCCAGAATTTATTGGGGCAAACTTCAGGAGAATTATATCATTGCTGGATGGTGGGGATAAGGACATGTGTAGTTTATGATTCTGTTCATTCCTGAGGCACCCCAGAGATGAATGGTGAACTCATTTTTATTTTATTCTTGGGGATAAGAAGTTATTGGGGTTTTAAAAACTACTTGAGAATATTTCTGGAACAACAGGACAAACCTATCAGAAAAACTGATAGGAAGGAAACAAGCAAGCTGGCTTGGCTCCTTTGACTGCACATCAAATTTTTTATCATCTGGTGGAAAGTTTTCTTGTGGTTATAAAATCCTGGCAAGGATTTTTTAAAGTGTGCAGGTGATTTGGCTCACCAAATGGGTGCCTTTCTTTTTAACAGCAAAATTGACATACATCTACTTGACTAAATTAAGATTCTCCTGGCTCATTTGTTGAAGAGAGGAGAGGGCAGAAAGATGACAATTAGGGGGGAGAGATAAGATATATTTTACAAATTATTAAGATATGTGGATTCTTACTTGCTTTTAATGAAAAATAAATGCAGCATAAAATCAAAGTACTCAATTTATACCTCAAGGTTTCAGATTTACTAAAGCCATAGGGCTTTCATTTTAAATACCTAGGAGGTCTTTATGACAAGGTGCATTGCTTAAAATCGAGTTTTCCTTTCAATGGTTTTCATGCACTGTAGACCCTGTAGCATTAACATTTTAGAGTGAAATCAGTGTCAGCTCCAAAATGAGCATCACAGGTTGGCAGAAACGTGCCCACGTCCTACTCTCAGAATGTTGGAGCCTCTGTCTTAATGCATAGGACATCAGCCTGTGGACAAATGGCAGATCACTGGGTAAAGCTGCTTTACAGAACATCTATACACTGTGGTAGCTTACTGCCAGAATGGCTGGAATTTCCTTTCAGAGAATCTATGACAATTTTTTTTCACCCAGGAAGCTATTTTTTTGTTGGTTTGTTTTTCATGCAACTTTTTATTTTGAGGTAAGTGTGGATTCTCATGCAATTGTGAGAAGTAATACAAAAAGATATACGCCCTTTGGTAATACCTTGCAAAACGACAGGACAATATCACAACCAGGATGTTGACATTGATATAATCAAGATCAGAATGTTCTCATCACCCCAACGATTGTTCATGTCACCCTTTTACATCTACACATGCTTGCATCCAGCCTCCACTCCCCCCTTAATCCCTGGCTACCTCTTATCTGTTCGCTATTGCTACAGTTTTGTCATTTGAAGAATATTATATAAATGGAATCACACAGTATATAACCTTTTGGTGTTGGTTGGCTTTTTTTTTTTCACTCAGCATAATTCTTTAAAGTTTCATAAATTATTTGTTCCTCTCTATTGTTAAGTAGTATTCCATGGTATAAATGTGTCACAGTTGGTTTAACCACTCACCCATTGAAGGATATCTGGGTTGTTTCCAGTTTTTGTTACAAATAAAACATCTATAACCTTTATGTATAGGTTTTCATTTCTCTGGGATAAATCCCCAACAGTAGAATTTCTGGGTTGTATAAGACTTGCATGCTTAATTTTTTTTTTAAATTGTCAAACTATTTTCCAGAGTACCTGCACCATTTTGCATTCCCACCAGCAAGGTATAAAGTGATCCATTCTCCCACATCCCCACCAGCTCTGGTGTTATTACTATTTTATTTTAGCCATTCTGATAGATTTGTGCTGATATCTCATTTTGATTTTAATTTGCATTCCCTAACCACCAATGTTGCTAAATATCTTTTCATGTGCAAATTTGCCGTCTTTTTATCCTTAGTGAAATGTTTGTTCTTGTGTTTTTCCCATATTCAAATTGGAGTTTTTCTAACCATTGAATTTGGAGAGCTCTTTTTATTTTCTAGATCCTAGTCCTTTGTTGGATATATAATTCACAAATATGCTCTCCCAGTCTGTAGATTTTCTTTTCATCCTCTTCACAGGGTCTTTTGCAGAGCTGAAGTTTTTCATTTTGATGAAATCCAATTCAACAATTTTTCTTTTTATGGATTGTACTTTTTTTTTTTTATTTTTTTTTAAATGTTTTTTTTTTTTTTAAGATTTTATTTATTTATTTGACAGAGAAAGACACAGCGAGAGAGGGAACACAAACGGGGAGTGGGAGAAGGAGAAGCAGACTCCCCGCCGAGCAGGGAGCCCGATGCGGGACTCGATCCCGGGACTCCAGGATCATGACCTGAGCCGAAGGCAGTCGCTTAACCAACTGAGCCACCCAGGCGCCCTGGATTGTACTTTTAGTGTCAAGTCTAAAAGCTCTTTGTCTAGCCTTAGACATGAAAATGGTCACCCACATATTTTTCTAAAAGTTTATAGTTTATTTTTAACATTTAAGTCCAAAACCCATCTTGAGCTATTTTTTGTATGGGTTCATTTTTTTCCCTACGGATGTCCAACTAATCATACACCATTTGATAAAAAGTTTGTATTTTCTCCATTGAATTTCCTTTCCACCTTTGCCAACAATTAATTGGACATGTTTGCATGGGTCTATGTTTGAGTTCTCTGTTCTGTTCCTCTGTCAATACCACACAACCTTGATTGCTGTAGCTATATAATATGTCTTGAAATCAGGTAGACTGTTTCCTCACACTTTATTCTTCTTTTTCAAAGTTGTTTTAGATATTCTAGTTCTTTTGCCTTTTGATATAAATTTTAGAGTTATCTTGTCTATATCTATTAAAATATCTTGCTGAGATTTTGATAGGAATTTTATTAGAGCTACATATTAGTTTGGGGGAATTGACATCTTTACTATACTGAATTTTCCAATTCATTAACAAGGTATGTCTCTCCATCTATTTAGGTCTTTGATTTCTTTCATCAGCATGTTGAATTTTTCAGCATGTAAGTCCTGTACATGTTTTGTTAGATTTACACCTAAATAAATTTTTTGAGCAATTGTAAATGGCATTGTATTTTGTTTTGTTTTGTTTTATTTTATTTTAATTTTTGGCATTATATTTTGAATTTTGGTGCCCACATATTCAATGCTAGTAGGTAGAAATACCACTAAATTTTGTATGTTTATCTGGTATTTTATGACTTTGCTAAACTCATTTATTTGTT